GGGGTAGGGGGAAGGGGGCAGAGAGGCCACAATTACTAAGGATCAATCCTCAATGTGAAACAAAAATAATCATTTTTTGTTATAGTATCATTGTCAGACTATAGCCTATCTAAATGAACGTTAATCCCCCGGGGCGGTGCTACTGACTGAAATGTCTTTAGGGCATTCCCAAAGGGGGGATATTAACAATATGTTCTCTTGCACAATGGAATTGTAAAAGAGCTGATTCATCAATGCCATGCTCATAACTGTGCGTGAACTGCAACAGGGAACTGCTGCTTTTTCTTTCCTAATCCTAACTGTCATCATTTTCCCTCTATTTCTTTTGAATGTTTGTCACACTCTTGTGACCTTCTATTTCCCGGGTGCCTTGATAGTCGAAGCAGACTTTGTGCTGCTGAAGCTAGAGAGGTCAGCAGAGTAAGTTTGATTCCCTGTCAGAAATCTTCTGTTAACGTCCACCCCTTGGCGCTCATATGACTCTATGCAGTTGCGAGCGCCGTAAAACCTCTACTAAAACTGTCTAAGTAAATGTTGGTGGTTGGTTAATAAACTGATAAGGTATCCACCTTCTACTTGTTTTCCCAGTGCCTTTTGTGTTACGAGTAGGCGCTTCGCTGTAGCACATGCAGGAGGTCCGTGTTCAATTCCTGAGTTGGAAGAATTTTTATCGGGTATTTTGTTCCTTCTACAGGGTTTGACCTGACAGGTAGGGTGATGCCAGCCTCCTAAATAATCTACATTGGGTCATGAGGGGCGTAATACCACCTACTTTATAAAACAAAAGTATTGTACATGTCCCAGGTAAATGTTGTGCAGCTGGAAAATCCCTTTAATTAACCGCAAGTGACGTAAAACGCTTTCTAAAATGGATCTCAAACTCAAAACGTGAGTGGTTGCCGAGTGCTCTGGTGTGTTTTGATCCTTCTTTCCTATCAATTATCTATCGTCTTTATCTTTTCTCATTCTTTTTTATGTTTGTCACTCTCTTGTAACACCTTTAATCTTCGGCACTTATATGACTTTATCGTGTTGCAAGTGCCGTAAAACCCCTACTATAAATAAAATATCACTACATCTGCTCCTCAGAAACGTTCAGCTCGATCCTCATTCCACCAAAACCCAGTGGAGAGGGAGGCGTGGTGTCTATCGACTACAACCCTCGCACACGGATGGCGTCTTATGACATCAACTTGGAAGGAGTTGCCCAAAGCGGTGAGTTAGGCTTGTAACGTACATGCCTGTCCATCAGCTTGTCATGTAGGCTTGTCTGGGTCAGATTGGACATACAGATAATGCACTTTTACATACTGTGCTTGATATGGTTTTCAAAACAACCCATTATTTTGATGATGATAATGATGATGATGATGATGACGATGACGATGACTATTAT